TAAATAGGTACTGCTCTGGTGGGAAGGTAAACGGTGTTTCTGTGCGCTGCTCTGGTTCGCCAGAAGCGGCTTAGTCATGCTGGCCACATGACCAGCTGTACGCCGGCTCCTTTGGCCAATAAAGCGAGATGAGCACCGCAACCCCACAGTCGGCCACAACTGGACCTAATGGTCAGGGGTCCCTATCTCCTCTCAGCCGCCTCTTTTCCAGCCGCTCCTTCAACCATTCCTCATAAGGCTTGGTTTTTAACACGTTGCCATTGTGATTGTATTCCATACTACAAAAGGAAGTATGGAAAACAGACCTGCTCTGTGGACATGCAAGTGAGATCCAAGCTTGTTCTCGAAGCAATAAACTACGGTTTACTGTTGCTTCTGAACACAGCCATTGCCTAACATTCAGGTGCTCCTTCCTGTTTCACTGCCCTTTAAGTTCCTCCATGATGTAGTCATCTTTTTTAAAAGAAAACTTAGAAAAAAAACAAGGGACAGAAAATGACTTGTTTCCCCACCGTTGATTACATTGTACAAGCAGTAAACCTGCGTTCTGCGCCACTGTGCCAATGGCCCACTTCAATTAACATGCCAGCATGGTGCGTATTTCTTCCTTCTTTAAAAAGCCCTAAGGTGATCTTGCAATGTGCTCTGCATCTAAATCACCTGAGGTCTGAGGTTAATGTCCACAGCGTACAACTCATTAGCTGCGCATTACTGTCCAAGCCAACCCCCCTCCCCCCAACTAACATGATTGATCCAACCACATGCTTAGTCCTGGGACTCGTTCTCAAATGAGAGTTTATTGCAAAAGGAAAGGTCAGCACCTTTGCAGAATGTTCTTTCCGATACATGTTGCAAGCTTTTGCTTTTCGAACTAATCACTGGGGGAAGGGCGGAATGACAACTAATACAGAGCCTCATTAAAAATTGAGAAGAGAGACAGGGAAGGGAGAAAAAGGAAGCTCTGGTGCGGCCAGTTGCTTTCTTCTTAGCTCTGCCTGAGAATATTTTATGCTGCAATAAACCTTACACCACAACAGATGCTTTGTCCACCTAACTCAATGGTTGCAGCTCTTATGGGTCTCAGACAGGACAACTTAATCCATTTAGGGGAGGGACAGCAGGTCTGTGGTAAGAGCATCTTCTCGATGTGCAGCAGGACCCAAATTCAATCCCCAACATCTTCGGGTAGGGCTGGGAGAGACTGCTGCTGAAAATCCTAGAATTGCTACCAGTATTATTTATTTATTTATTTATTATTCATTCATTCATTCATTCATTCATTCATACATACATACATACATACCCCGCCTATCTGGCTGGGTTTCCCCAGCCACTCTGGACGGCTTCCAACCGAATATTAAAAACAACACAACATCAGACATTAAAAACTTCCCTAAAGTTTTTAGAGAGCCAGTGTGGTGTAGTGGTTAAGAGCGGTGGACTCGTAATCTGGTGAACCGGGTTCGTGTCTCCGCTCCTCCACATGCAGCTGCTGGGTGACCTTGGGCTAGTCACACTTCCTTGAAGTCTCTCAGCCCCACTCACCTCACAGAGTGTTTGTTGTGGGGGAGGAAGGGAAAGGAGAATGTTAGCTGCTTTGAGACTCTTTTGGGTAGTGATAAAGCGGGATATCAAATCCAAATCCAAACAGGGCCACCTTCAGTTGTCTTTTAAAAGTAAAATAGTTGTTTATTTCCTTGACATCTGGTGGGAGGGCGTTCCACAGGGCAGGCGCCACTACCAAGAAGGCCCTCTGCCTGGTTCCTTGTAACTTAGCTTCTTGCAGCGAGGGAACCGCCAGAAGGCCCTCAGCGCTGGACCTCAGTGTCCGGGTAGAACGATGGAGGTGGAGACACTCCTTCAGGTATACTGGGCCGAGGCCGTTTAGGGCTTTAAAGGTCAGCTCCAACACTTTGAATTGTGCTCAGAAATGTACTGGGAGCCAATGAAGATCTTTCAGGACCGGTGTAAGCAACATTGAGCTGGATAGACCAGTGGTCTGACTCAGTGTAAGGAGACTTCCTATGCTCTTGAAGGTTATATGTTGTTAAGGGTTCCAAAAACATCTGGTCATGTTGTCATGGATTGGTTGGATGCAGAGGAATGGTGGGAGAAACCAGCTGGAGAACTGCCGGGGGAAGAAGGTTCTGAGCCTGGGGACTGGTGGTGGGACAACGAAGAGGGAGAAGCCTGGGAGGAGGAGGTGTAGGAATGAGAAGAGGGAACAGGGCTTAGTGAGCAGAGAGAGTCTGTGGCAGAGGGCAGTCCAGAAGAAGAAGCTGAAGCAGAAGAGAAAGGAGGCCAAGAAGCAGAGGTGGGTCAGGCTGGTGTCTTCCTCTCCTGCTACAACTAAGCTCCTTTCCCTCCCTCATCTGCCAGAACCAGAAGAGGCATGAAGATGATAGAGGGAAGATTGGTGACACAGTCTCCGATTATTTGGGGGGGAAACCCTGGAGAGGAGGGGACTTAAAGCAAGGTCTAAGCTGCAATGCTTCAAAGCATCTTTGTAAATGGGTCTTCTTTTCTACTAGCTGACCTTTGCAGTGTGACGTGAATTACTGCTGGCTAAGACCAGCGACCACAAAGGACCACTGCCAACTGAAACGTTGCGCATGAAACATTTATACCTTTCTTTCTTTTTTTAACAAAAACTGCAAATGAAACTGTGATCCAATTACCATTTGGGTAGTGATCGGTCGCTGTCCTTCGAGGCACATGCAACTACATGGGAAATCATGCATATGTGGAGCCCAATTTTAGCCATGAACATGGAACTCATCAGAAATCTTGGAAAACTGAGACATCTTGAAAATTGTCCCACTATGCTATACACAACCTGCTTTTTGAACAATTGGAAGCACCCCATATTATAGTTACCAGTGGCAGTCACATGTAGATAACCACGCTGAACCAAAGACTCTGTGGGAAAGGACTAAATGTGGGTTTTAAATGACCAAACCGTAGCAATCCTGGATTGCTCTTTACAGCAAAAGCTGCCTAAATTTGTCAGGTTCTTCTCTGAAGTCCCAAGAGCTAGAATCCTATGTTTTGGGGGGTTTTTTAAGCATAAAAATCATAGCCTTGCAAAGAATCAAAGGGCTGTCCAGTTTGTTTCAGGGGTCCCGGGGAGCACTTGCAAGAATAACAAATGAAACCAACTCCCCAGTTTATTTGTGGTAAGTAACTCCTGGCACTTCATCTCAAGATCAGAAGCAGTGACCTCCAAGGAAAAAGTGAAGGGCGCAGGTTGTTTCAAGTTGGAACGACAAACACGAGATGCATACCGCATAAAGGACACCCCAGCCCCAAGCACTACCAAGTGTTATGAAAGCATCACACGTTGGCATCGGCTTTCAGTTCTGGGTCCTGTCCAAGATCCATGCCTCTTAAAGCCCTAAATGGGCAAAGAGCTCAATATCCACTGGGAGCAACTTTCTCTTGCTAAGCTTCTGCCTTAATCAAGAATGCTGAGTCCATGGACCCAGGGCAGGGAGAACAGCTGAGGTACCTTGAAGTGCCCATGCGATCGTTGCTAAATATACTGCCACCACCTCCAACCGAGCAGTTGATCACGACAGAATAGAATGCCTGCTGTCCTGAGCATTAATGCAGCAACAGCACATTGCATTTCATAGACGGACAGCCAAACGCCAATTGGGATTTGCAAAATGTTACTCAGTTGGAGCCCCATTCTCTCCAATAAAGCAGCCTTTGCCCCAACCGGCTGTTTTGGACTACAAGTCCCATCAGCCTCAGCCAACACAGCCGGGCTGGTGCTGATGCGAGTTGAAGTTCAAAGCAGCAGCTGGAGGTAACCAGCTTGGGCAAATTTTGCTATGAGGAGTTTGGCGTTTTGCTTCTAGGAGCCCATAATAGGAGGAGAAAACAGTGATGGAGGGAGCTGGGAAAAAGCCTATCATGAACAAAGAGTTCCCAACCCTTAGAAAAGGATGCTGAGATGTGGGGGTAATTTGAATTTATCCATAGGAGGCCCTAGATGAAATCCCACAATGCTCTGGAAACATCTGGAAGAACTATGGGAGCAAAGGTCAGGGTCAATTGTTCAGCGATTAAAATGATCAAGGCAGTAGAGCGAGACCCCTGTGAGGAGAAGCTGCAGCGTCTGGGACTTTAGGCAAGCCAGAGGTGACATGAGGGAACCTCATAAAATTATACATGGCATGAAAAGAGTGGGAACAGAAAAGGTCTTCTTCCTCTCCTGTATCACTAGAGATTGTGTGCGTGCAACGAAGCCGAAGGTTGGAAGATTCAGCAAAGAAAATTACCTCAATGGAACTTGTTCCCAAAGGTGGCAGTGATCGCCACCCCATTTGGGCTGCTTCATAAAGAGGATTTGACAAATTCGTTGTCCCGAACACCCAGCATACCTGGCAGAACGTTCCCACTGGTGTACACAGCCCCCAAAAGTACCACCTGGAACAACCAAGCCGTGGTCCATCAACGTGGGCAGCTGAGCAGACACGGCACCTCCGTTCTGCTTCCCTTTTATACCTTGCATGCTGACTGCCACATCTGGGCTTGACGAGGCCCGTGACCCTCACCTATCCTGAGCCTACTCCAGCTGGGGAAGCTCAGCTGCCTGCCTCAGCCTCCTGGAGCGCCCTTCTCGCTGCTCCCTCAGAATGCTCAGAAGGTAAAAGCTAAAGGACCCCTGGACAGTTAAGTCCAGTCAAAGGTGACTATGAGGTGTAGCGTTTGTCTACAGGCAGCTTTCCGGGTCATGTGTCCAGCATGACTGAACTGCTTCTGGTGCAACGGGGCATCGTGACGGAAACCAAAGCACACAGAAATGCCGGTTACTTTCCCGCCGCAGCGGTCCCTATTTATCTACTTGCACTGGTGTGCTTTCAAACTGCTAGGTTGGCAGAAGCTGGGACAGAGCAATGGGAGATCACCCTGTCACGGGGATTCGAACTGCTGAACTTCTGAGTGGCAAGCCCAAGAGGGAAGGCCTGTGGACAGAATGAGGAACTTGTTACCTTTTCTGCGAGCCAGCCAAGGTGCCTGATCTCTCGAGCTCCAGCAATTCCTGCTTTGCCCAGCTGATCTTTGACCTCCGAGATGGCCTTAGGAATGAGATCGCTGACGCAGGAGTGGATGGAGTGGAACCAGGCCTGCGCTGTGGCGGAATCCTTACTCCTTAGAACCAGGGTGTGCCTGGCATCTGGCGAATGAACTTCTACGAGCCTGCAGGAGGGAAAATAGCAGAATGAGGATAATGGCTGGAGGTTTAGTCTCAAAATATTTAGTGTGGCTATTGCAAAGCAGCCCAGTCCTATGAACTTTGCTAGAATACAAGCATTAAATATCTATCTGTCTATCTATCTATCATCATCTATCTATCATCTATCTATCTATCTATCTATCTATCTATCTATCTATCTATCTATCATCTATCTATCTATCATCTATCTATCATCTATCTATCTATCTATCTATCTATCTATCTATCTATCTATCTATCTATCTATCTATCTATCTATCATCTAATCTATCTCACTCCAGGTCATGTTTTGTGCAAATTGCACTATTATATTCTAATAGAATATTGAATATTACTTTATTTGATACAAGTCATTCTACTTTAAAGTTATGTTTTATTATGATTTTTCGTATTGCATCGGATCATTAGAAGGCATGCGTTCTTTATTGCATTTTTTGTTGCTGCAAACCGCCTTGTGTATATAGGTAGGCTGTATACAAATTAAAAAGCAAAAAGAAATGAAAATGAAAATACCGCAGGGTGTGGGTCGCGAAGTTTAAATTCTAGTTAGCGAAGTGAAGAGGAAACAAACAAGCTGCGAATTATCACAGGCTGGTTGTGGTTGGCTTGAATTAACTAGAACTTGAACAGAACTGGATGTGCTTTGTTCAAAAGTAGAAATGAAAGTTTTCAGCTTCCAAACCTTGTGCTCAAGAGCAGAGAGCCCATCAGGCCAGCAATCGCTGCAGCTCCAGTCACGGAAGAGGAAAACATGGGAACTCTCCTCAATGTGCAAGAAGCACCCTGAGCACTTGAGGAAATTGTTGTTATTGGGGAGTGTGTCCAAATAGCAAAGAATACGCTAAAGAGAACAAAATGAACTGGACTCCTTGGCAGGTTTTGAATAAACATACACAAATTTATTGGGTTAATATAGTGGATAGATAATATAAAACGAAGATCATGGCCACTGGGTTCATCACCTCCTGGCAAATAGAAGGGGAAGAAATGGAGGCAGTGAGAGATTTCACTTTCTTGGGCTCCATGATCACTGCAGATGGTGACAGCAGCCACAAAATTAAAAGACACCTGCTTCTTGGGAGAAAAGCAAAGACAAACCTAGACAGCATCTTAAAAAGCAGAGGCATCACCTTGCCAACAAAGGTCCGTATAGTTAAAGCTATGGTTTCCCCAGTAGTGATGTATGGAAGAGAGAGCTGGACCATAAAGAAGGCTGATTGTTGGGGAGGTGGGAGGGGGAAAGGGGAGGAAATAATGAAGATGATTTGTATTGATGGTTTGTTATGTTGCAATTGTTAATAAAAAAAATTGAAAAAACAAATAGCAAAGAATACGCTAGACTTAATGTATGTGGTGCTTTACAGAATGACACATGCAAACAGAGGAGGTCACTGCCCACAAGGCATTTACAGCTGAACTTTTGACAAGTGAGAGGAACCATAGAATCACAGAATTGTAGAGTTGGAAGGGACCCTGAGGATCATCTCGTCCAACCCCCTGCAATGCAGAAATATGCAGCTGTCCCATACGGGAATCGAACCTGCCACCTTGGCATTACCAGCACCATGCTCTAACCAACTGAGCTATCCATGCATCAATAACAAACACCACTACTGACTAATAGGTGGTGTCCAGGACTTCAGGTAGCGTCTCCACGTGCCTGGGATTGAACGTGGGACCTTCTGCATGCAAACCAGATGCTCTCCCAGTGACCTGTGGCCCTTCCACATGCAGAAGATTTCCCTACCCATCCTGTCCGCATAAATACACAGATATGCTAGGCACAGTCGCTGAGGTGCCGCGCAAACGTTTTGCAAGCAGAGCGTGTTTGCCAAACGGATGGGACAGCTCCGATTTGAAAACGGCTTAAAACGTGTTACGCTCTTTGGCAACCTGCCTTCTGAAAAGGCAACATTATGTCTATCTACTATTTGGCGATAAAAGTTCCCTTTTCCACTCTCCCTGGCCTAGAAATATTTCAGGCAGTGCCACAGCTGTGTTTATCCTCACACACCACCACAGTTATGCAAACACAGCATGCGGAATGGCTTTCGATAAAACCCACACCAGCCCAAAGGAATGGCACGTTTAAGCGCGAGGTGGCGGCCGTGATACACACTCGGCCACGCACAGGAATGGTATCACGCTTTCCCAGGGGCTGCTTGGCTAACTTCGCAAAAACAAAGAGTCTGAGTTGCCAGTGGTCATTTCCCAGGATTCCTCCTTTCACTTCCAAAATACTTCCTGTCTCCGACATGCATTTAACCCTCCCATAATCAAGCGAAGAGCCTAACAGGGCCTTGTTGCTCTCCCCAGCGAGGTTTGGCTGGCACATTCATGATACACCTTTAGGTGCCAGGCAATAAACAACTATTTTACTTTTAAAAGACAACTGAAGGCAGCCCTGTTTAGGGAAGTTTTTAATGTCTGATGCTGTATTGTCTTTAATATTCAGTTGGAAGCCGCCCAGAGTGGCTGGGGAAACTCAGCCAGATGGGCAGGGTATAAATAATACATTATTATTATTATTATTATTATTATTATTATTATTATTATTATTATTATTATTAAACCAGGCCTTTGGCTGATTGATATCCAGCACCCTTTTAAAAATGGGTTTGGGGGGGGACAGGGGATTACTGGGTTTTTCTTATTTTTATTTGCATTACGTATTTTGTGTTTATAGATTGCAATTTTATGTGGTTGTACTGCCCTGAGACCTGCAGGCATAGGGCAGTATACAAATTTAAATTGTTGTTGTTGAACAGGCAACATAATGGCAAAGAGGATTTAACAAATGCAACTGCAAATTACAATCGTAGCCTCCCTTGTCCATAGCAGAACCATTCCAGCTTTCTGTTATTGGTTTCTTTTTTTAAAATGCCCATTGTTATAACATGGTGCATTTAGTTTCTGTTCTCCTGGCCTCATCAAACAAACGCCAGTGCCTTGTATGGCGCTGTGGTCTAAATCACTGAGCCTCTTGGATTTGCTGATTGGAAGGTTAGCGGTTCAAATCCTCACGACAGGTTGAGCTCCCGTTGCTCTGTCCCAGCTCCTGCCAACCTAGCAGTTTGAAAGCACACCAGCACAAGTAGATAAATAGGTACCCCTGCGGCGGGAAGGTAAACAGCGTTTCTGTGCACTCTGGTTTCTGCCACGGTGCCCCATTGCTCCAGAAGCGGTTTAGTCATGCTAGCCACATGACCTGGAAAGCTGTCTGTGGACAAGCGCCAGCTCCCTCAGCCTGAAAGTGAGATGAGCACTGCAACCCCACAGTCGCCTTTGACTGGACTTAATCGTCCAGGGGTCCCTTTAAGGAAGCCCATCTCCAGCCATGCTCACTGCAGCTCCCAAGCCTCACCCCAACACTCGCACACACAAAGGGGGCGATCCCATGGCAAAATCTGCTGGGATGACCAGCTGAGGATGCAGCGGATCTCCGACTGCGCCAGCTGATTCTTGCTCCTCCAGGCTCAGAAATCTCAAGTCCCCAAGCCTGACTCAGCCAAAGAGAAGCCAACATAAGTTGCTCATTCCGGCTCACCCAATGTAAGCACCAAAAAAAGGGGTGCAGGATCAGAAAGGGGGGCAGCTTAGGCTGAATCCTAAATCAATTCAGCTTCAACTTGACAAAGGGCACTTTGTCAATGCTTGGTCAATGCTTGCTTTCCCTCTTGTCAATGTTCGTGCAGAGCAGCGGCAACAGCCCCACTGCAGAATGGGTTTTCAATCCAGGGTTAACTTTGCTGGCTTAATTTACACCTTCTTGCTTTGGACCAGCTCCTTGCACACAGGATTGCTCCAACACACAAACACACAAACAATATTTAGGTTTTAAAACGTCATTTCATACCATGGCTGCACCACGGTCAACTTCAGGTTTTTTAAAACCTCCCTACTTCCGTATATGGATGCAAGCTGTACTTCAAAGTTGTATCAAAGACGATTTCCAGACGTATTATTATGCACATAGCTGAAGTGTATAGGCTCTGTCAGCCGGCTGATTTTGCTTTTATGGGCATGGATGGCCAAGTTACTTTGCTAGAGAGCATGACCATGTCATGGGCTGCGTTCTAAAATAGCAGAGCACTTCTCATCGGAGCAGCGAGGTATGCTCAGGGATATTGACGCAAGACGAAAACCCAAACTCCGTGCCAGGAACATTATGCAGATTAAGCAGCAGATTTGCATCGCTTGTACAAACCATTTGTTTTGATTCCAATATTTGAGATTTCCCTGGGTGGGTTCCTCTTCTATACGCTCCCTGAGCAGAACATCTGAAGCAGAGACTTGAATATCTTTCCTATTATTCTACCTTCCTTTCCCTAAGGCAAAATGTCCAAAAAGGTACTATCTGATAACTGAATAGAGGAAACAAGCCACATTCTGCAAGGGGAGGCATGTAAGGTAAAGGTAAAGGTACCCCTGCCCATACAGGCCAGTCTTGACAGACTCTAGGGTTGTGCGCTCATCTCACTCTAGAGGCCGGGGGCCAGCGCTGTCCGGAGACACTTCCGGGTCATGTGGCCAGCGTGACGAAGCTGCTCTGGTGAGCCAGAGCCGCACACGGAAACGCTGTTTACCTTCCCGCTAGTAAGCGGTCCCTATTTATCTACTTGCACCCGGGGGTGCTTTCGAACTGCTAGGTTGGCAGGCGCTGGGACCGAGCAACGGGAGCGCACCCCGCCGCGGGGATTCGAACCGCCGACCATGCGATCGGCAAGTCCTAGGCGTTGAGGTTTTACCCACAGCGCCACCCGCGTCCCTAGGGTCTTAAAAAACAACAACCCTGTAAGGACTGAGGCCTGAAATTGGACAGGTTCCTTATGAACATAAGAAGACCTCTGCTGGGTCAGGCAGCATTGGGGGGGGGGCTGCAGGGAGACTCCCCCCCCCAAAGGCCACAGGAGGCCAACTTTTGTCTTACAGGAATTGTCTGGACTGTATGTGTATATCTGTG